TCGGAAAAGACGAGGATTCACAGCTTTACAAGTGGGATCCTTCGTTATCTTTGATATGGAACTCAGTTCTACGGTTAGATTGGTACCTCATCTAAGGCAATCAGCATTCAATCTAGAACAATATTTAAAGGAATATCGGATTTATTAAAAAAAAAAGCACAATAAAAAACGTTAACTTCCACTGAAACTATAATGCACTTCGCAAATGTATTTCAAAAAGCATAAAAGAGTATAAAAAGCAAGGTCTTGGATAATTATCTGCAAGAAATTTCGTGAACATATCTTGTTAAATAAAAAAACTTTCCATATAAGAACTTGATTTTGATCGTTTAGCTTGTATGGCAGCTATATGCTATAGTTATCCAATATCGGTTAGAAAGTCGCACTGCAAGCCATCAAATAAGCTTCGAAAGGCTTATTACTGTAAACTAAGATACAGGGTAACTATTAATTACCTTAATTTGAAAGAAAAAGTAACTTGTATGCTAATAAGTAGAAGTGCTTGACAGCTAATAATTATTTTATTTTTGATTTGCTATGGATTTTATTTCCGCTAAATAGGCATAATTTCAGAGAAATACGCTTTTATGGAGGTAAACAAACAAACGCATGTAAAACGACGTGCTTTAAATGTCATAATTAACAAAACATATTCTACTCATTTGCAATTTATTTGTACACATATGTCCTTTTGGCGCGATGTGATAATTTGCTATCGTCACCTGAGGCAGCACTAACGCACCACCAAACACGGCACCGCACTCCATCATTTGCATATTCAACTTTTGATTTGTTGTTACACTCATTTGCTGTCAGCTGTCAGATTTGGAAGGTGCGTTACACAACTCCCGCTCTGCGCGAGGTGTCGACTTGTCAGCCTGCCGACGTGTAAAAAATATTGCCATGCACAGCATAAAGCAATTTACATACCCCATACACATAAGCGTACACATGCAGTGACATGCCTTTGTAGAGCACTCCACTCCACCCACATGCGGCGACACGCGTAACTTTGATGTTTGCTGGCCAACTCCAAATGAAATGTAAATGACACATGTTTACATCACACCACCAGCCTTTGCAGCATGTGTACGCCTGTATATTGCTTGTTGTTGTAAGTGTTGCTGTGGTATCTTCGCGGACGTCGTGCTATGTGACAGCTTTTTATTATGTTTGCCTTCAGCATACTTTCAGCGTTTTGTATAATTTTTATTTCGCTTGCTTTTAAATGAGGTCAGTCTTTTTGTGTAAATTAAATTGAAAAACTTTGCATTCCAGATTTCTATCAATTGAATTTTATTTTATTTGCTTATGCGCGACAAAACTGTTATTCCAAGTTGTTGTTATTTTTCTGTTTTCTGCGCTTCTTTCGCTTTTATCGTCAGCACTTTCAATGCAATTAGTGCTTGCGGAAGTGGCGTAAGCAGAAACAGTTGCAATTTTTGCGCATAAAAATTAAACGTGTTTCTGATTTATTTACAATTTAATATATGCAGAGCAGGAAAATTTAAATTTTTTTCAAAATTTTTTGTTTATCTTGCCTTAGATTACTCATACGCCTTGTATGCTCATTATTTTTTTATATGGTTGGGTAAATTGCTCGGCAGCGCAAAAACGCCACGAAAAATTTTAAAGTTATCGCAATTAATCTAATTTTTTTAATCTTTTAAATAATTTTAGTCTGATTTCTTTATAATATGAAATTGTATTACTATTTTTACTAGCTGTGAAATTATACTCAGCAATAGTTACTTCGAAAGGGGCAGTTATATTTCCAAACAAGTTTTATTCCAACATAAATTGATATTGTGTCTATAACTATATTCGTGCGAATTATTCCGAATGTGGTTTGGAAAGCTACTGTCCTTGTGCGCATTTATTTAAAGATTAAATCACAAAATCTAATCCGCTGTAAAGTCGAAGCGTTCAAACATCAAACTCTCGTGAAAAAAGTGATTCAGAAAATTGCCCTATAGCCGCTATTTCATATCAAAATTATAAAAATTTTGTTGTAGTAAACTCAAATTTATATTTATAATTTACTAAGGAAATTTAGAAAAAAACTCGATTCTTTGTTTCTTCCCTGCATATTGTCAATTAGGCCTTTTTTAAACTTGTTATCCGTTATAATCAACTTTTTCAACTGCATGTATTTCCTATTCAAATAATCATTTATATAAAGGGCGCATCACTCTTGCTCTCGGTATATAACCGCTTATACGGGTTCAAACACTCTTGGAAATCTAAATTCAATAGAATTGTAATCCCTTAATTCAACATGCATTCCGGTGTAGACAATTTTCATTAGTTTATAATAATTAAAATAACCTAAAAAAAAGTGTTATTAAATTATTAAAGATTCATGTATGAAATTCCATTTCATCACCAAACTATTTTGTGTCTGAACGTTTAATGTCAAAGGAAGTAACATTGACCGACCACCTATATTTTCTTATTTGATACTTCTGGCTTCTTTTTGGCACCAACAATTATCGGATAGTTGACAATTTCAAAGTAAATATTAACACTAAAGTCATCGTTTTACCGTCAGAGATTGTTACTTGAGAAAAACACTGTAAAACAAGCCAATAAGGCGATCACTTGATGGAAGTTGGAATAAAAAATTATATAAATAAATTTTTAACGTCTAAAATTAATAAAAATATATTAAATATAAGAGACATTTGATTTTTCCAAGACTATTCAATGTCTGTATACCATCATAATGGCTGTTGGATGTAGTGTTTCTAAACTCACAAGCTAAAAAATTTGCTAAATTTAACCAACTATTCAAACAATTTTATTTTTGCTTTGACTTCACAATTTTTTTAATAATTTTGTTTTGGTTGAAGTACAAAAACCTAAAATAATAAGAAAAAATGTTTAATCTTATGCATATGTTATACATATGGTAGTAATTTAAATGTTCAATATATAACTATATATTCTTATATCAGATATACATATGTAGATATATCCTATATTTCACTAAAGTACCTAAGGAAAAATGCATCAGATTTAGAAAAAATCTCTTTTTAAAATTAAGAAAGCTTTTTGTGGGTATTCTCGATGAATCGTAACCATAGAAATCAAGGTGTCCTTAATACCACAGCAATTTTATTTAATTGTAAAAGTTGTAAAACTCCCACAAAAATAAGTGAGTGTAAATCTTCCTTCAAAAAACCTGTTAAAATACAAGACGAAGAAGCAAGGAAATTAAAAAAATGTATATATATAGATATATAATATTAATTAATTAATTAATTAATAAGCACACTTATGGTATATAATAATCAGCGCAAAGTCAAGCATACTTGCAGGCGCGTATACAAAGTAATTAAGCCGTGTAATGAGTACGCAGCAACAGACGTGGGGTACTTACCAATACATATGCACATAGACACACACATACACGCAGTACTGTGTTGTGTACTTCAACAAAGAAGTTTCATCAACAAAAATTAACATTCTAATGAAATTCATCAAAGCGGAAAAATTGTTGTCTACTTTACGCAATCAAAAAGTTAAATATTGAATTGCTGGATAATCATTTGAGTAATTTGTTAAAATCACTTGAACGAGAAAAACGAGTGCTCATTAAACATTTATTATACATATTTACATACATACGAGTACATATGTATTCGAGCATTCGAATATGGTAGGTCTATGTAAAAGTGCTTGAGGGTTGAAGCCGAATATAATTGAAAATATATTGAGTGAATGCTTTGAGGGTTTTTCACCTTCTTTTTTTTTTTTGTTCCACTGTACTTCTGTAAAAATATGTTTGGTCTTTTGAGTACAGTTATTTCTTTGTGGAAATCTGCAGTGAAAGAGAGTGTAATTTCACGAGTTTTATGTAATTTTATACAAAATGTTTAAAAAATAGTGAAAATTAAAGGAAATAGTAAATTTGGAGAATAAATTGTAAACTCGAAACCCTAACCTAGAAATTCACTAGATCCAAAAACAAAATAAGAAAAAACGCTAACTTCGCCTACACCGAAGCTATAATACCCTTTACAGGTGAATTTTTTATAGCATAAAAGAGTATAAACAGATCTCTATATTGATTTTGTTTGGTCAGTTTGTATGGCAGCTATATCTTCTAGTGACCCGGTATCGGCGTTTCTGACAAATGAGCACATTCTTGGCAAAAAAAACGTGTGCAAAATTTCCGATAGATATCTAAGAAACTCTAAGATATCGAAAAAAGAAACGTTGTAGAATTTTTAGAAGAATTATACCCTATTTTAATCTTCTAGTGCTCTTCCAAAATTACTTTGAAATGGCCACAATTTTTCAACAATACGAGATCTTATGCGACAAATTGCAAGTCGGAACCCTTTTAAATAGCTATTAGGAAAAACTTTGCTGATTGGTACAAGGATCGAGAGCTGCGGTGTAGCGGACGTGTTATCCTCCGTGGATCTTAGGCAAGATACTGAAACCGAACATTTATAGAGACAGTCAGACGGCACTAGTAGTCTTGTCGTCACCAAAAATTAAATTCAAGCTTAATAAACAAATGCAGATAGGCTTTAAGCTCAATGGCAGGTCAACTCCACTTGTTTATAATTTGGGTTCCCGGTCACAGAAACATTTTCGGCAACGATAGCAAACTTATGGAATCCATCAGATATCAAACATTGAATTTTGAAAGTAATCTTAGAAGATTGAAGAGTCCATCAAGTACCGGAGAAAGGCTCAGCCTTCTCAGTTTTTCTCACTTACACTTTCTAGCTATTGGCTTATTGAAATTTACTCGATATCCTAAAAAAAATATTTGTATATATCTTCGAATATTAATCATTCCCAAGATAAAATGTATGTCATACATTAGCTACCAACTATTTGCACTCAACTGTATGCTAAGAACAAACACGCATGAGAAATTACAAATAAAAGATTCGATAATTATATAACCTGCACTCATTTATACTATTAATTAATATTTAATAATCCATTGCGTCTCTACGTGCGTCACTTTCTTTTCGCAGATGAGGGTAATCACGCACTACAGGAATTTCTTGCCGCACGCAATCCGAAGCAGCAGCACAGCAGCACATTGGAATCGTACTTAATCAAGCCGATACAGCGCATCCTCAAGTATCCACTGCTGTTGCAACAGTTGCGCAATTTAACCGATTCGCGAGCCGATGAACACTTGCACTTGTGCGGTGAGTACCGCAGTTATGTAATGGCCTTCATATTCATATGTATGGTACCTATTATATTATATATTAGGATGGAATTTTTTTTTTTTTTGCTAAGCCTGAGGTCAGATTTCTAGATTATAAAAAAAGAAAATTATTGGTTAAAAAAATTTTTTAACATCTAGAGATGGCCCACTTACTTTTAAAGTATATTTCGAGTATTTCGACTATTTACATTTATATAAAAACTATCGAATTTGATGGTTTTCGACTCAAAATTTATTTCAACGCTTAAGGAAAGCATGTTGCCGTTTAAGACTTCTTTTTAAAACTTCAGTAATGACCACATCAATTTTTTTTGTTGATAACTTTTAATTGGCCAGATAAAGGACTCTTTACAGCAACACTTATCAAAAAAGTTTTACGAAATAAAAATTTTAACTAGAAACCTTACTTTAAAAGTGAGTGGGCTTCTAGATGTTTAAAAATTTTTTTCCAAAAATTTTCTTTTTTTATAACTTACAAATCTGACCCTCAGGCTAAGCAAAAAAAAATTTTTTTCGCTACACCCTAATATATATATATATATATATATACATATACCTATATATGTATATATATATATGTGTATGTATGTGCCCACTTGAATTTTTCAACATAATTAATATCATTACCTTAATAATGTAAATCTTTTTATGTTCGGAACGTGCTCGTAATTTCATTTCTTGGCTTATCGTCATTGATTTGTTGCACTTATGTATTTATATATGTTTGCTTTTGCTTTGCAGAGGCACTCAAGGGCATGGAAAAGGTAGCCGAGCATATCAATGAAATGCAACGAATCCACGAGGAATATGGTGCTATATTCGATCATTTATTCCGACAACATCAGAAGTCATGCAAGCAGCCCATCGATTTGAGTCCAGGTGGGTTCATTAAAAGCGCTTAAATGCATATACATAAATTTATTTTTTAATATATATATAAATAGCATGTAATGCTTCGATGAATTGTGAATGCCAACTCAATTGAGTGCAACAAAATTGTATTAAGTAGAGGGGACTTCAATGAGCGAACGAAATAGATAAATGTGAAGCACAAAACTCTTGTTCTATATTCTTATAAGAATTCGCTACTTTTTAGTGGCGATATAATCTTCAACCGTTCTCAAGTATAGCAAACATAGTTCTATCCAAAAAATTGCGGAAGTGATCAGCGAATACAAGTATAGTATCTCACGGCTTCACAGATTAAACAAGAACTAAGTAGCTTCAAAAACCTTCTTACAGGTTTGATTGTAACTTTTAACTCTAGGAAAAAAGTACAGTGAACATCGAATATAAAGACTTCATGTAGCACCATCTGATCAAAATTGACCCGGACAGACATTTTCGGCTGGAGATAATAGTTCACATAAAAATAGCAATCTAGGAAAAGTTTTTATCGAACCAGTTCGGTTCATATTTGATCATATGAGAATACTAATTTTACAAGTGTAGTTAAATATCCAGCAGATAAACCTCTTTTCGCACTCTGGAATCTAAAATGAAACATATTTAGTCGATCATATGTGTAATTCCCCACGGAAAAGCACCTCATCCACAAATTAGACTGAGTGGATCCAAGACAGCTTACCACGTTACTTATATCGAGGTGAGGTCTAGGAAAGTTTAGCTAATTTCGAGCTCTTCGTGAGCAAAATTGTAAAGTTCTGACACATGATGTCACCATTTGGGAGAAGAAATTGGACGAAGCTACTGACTGACTCTAAATTATGTGGCTAATCTAAGCGGCTATGCTTTGAGGTCCAATCTGGATCCAGGTTGCGACAGTAAATATAAAGGGAAAAAGTTCCTTTGCAGTTAGTACTACTTTCTTTGGGTTTCTGGACTTTGTCTATGGCTTGTTGTTTCAAATATCAGAAATATTTAAGATTCTAAATAATAAAACACAAAATCTTTCGGGATAAACATCAATTTATACGAGCTGAACTGAAGTCGATCGACAAAAGACTATAGAGAAAAAAAATTTAGTGATACATGTTAAATTCTTTCCGATGTCTAAGAAAAAAATAAACGGTCCATTAGTCCCATAACGAGACAACGCTATATCGTCAAAGAAGCATTCACAGCTCTATAAGCATTACATGCTGATACAAAAATCTATTACTATATGTCATATTTTCACCACAACAACAACATCACTTAATCTATCCAAGAATTATTATCCAATATCAAGATCATTCGTTCCTCGATACAGGTGATCTGCTTTATTATGGCGGCGTTGAGTGGCTTAATATATCCGATTTCCTTGGTAAAATTAAGAAGGGTTTGGAGTTGCACGCCATGTGCTTCGTTTTTAAATCAGCGGTTGTGTTCCTTTGCAAAGAACGTTTGCGTCAAAAGAAGAAACTTATGGTAAGCATTCATCTGGCAATTTTACCTCAACTACATTTGCATAGCTTAAAACTCTTTAAAATACTTTATAGGGTGTTTCGAGTAAAAACACACCCAACGAAGTGGAAATCATACGCTATCAAGTGCTCATACCCGTCACCGAAGTACAGGTGCGCGCCTCTTCCGCCAAAGATATGGACTCACACTTCCTATGGGAATTGATACATTTACGCTCGCAACTACAACGCCGCTCTGAGAAGGTTTACGTACTATCGAACAGCACAGCCGATTTTCGTAATGCATTCCTCAAGACTATACGACAAATCATACGCGAAAGTGTACGCAACATGTCCATACCGATGAAGGGTTTCGGCAGTAGCGGCTCAGTATCAGGCATCTCATCGCAAGGTGGCGGTTCGGGCAGTTCGCAAACGCTCGAGCGACCAAAGCAACAGGTCTTGGAACTTAAGCAAAGAAATATTTGCATACAATTTATATTTGCAAGTTCGCTGTATGCTAATTTTCGCTTTTATATTGCAGATAACAATCATTCAAGGCTCGCAGACCTTGGGTAAGCCCAAGAAGAAGTCCGGTTCGCAGCGTCATTCGGCCGGCAATATCGACTATGATAATCTATCGGGCAGCCAAGAGGCCGACGATGTGCCAATGCTGCATCATCAGCATCAACAACAACAACTACAACCGAGTGGTTTCCGTGGACGCAGCAAGACTGTGGGCGATACTACAGGTATTTCAGAAATATTCCGTCATTTTTTGTAAATACTTTGGTGTTTAGGCACAGTTTATCAACTGCAATAAAGCTCTATGCTAGCCAACAATTTTGCGGAGACAAGTTTACCAAAAATATTTTTAATGAAGCGAAAAAAACTACAACTTTTGATTATAAAAAAAAAAATATACAAAAAAAATTTAAAAACAAAAAATTATTTTAAAAAATTAAAAAAAAAATGGTACACTCTTCTCCGCTCTCTCAACTCTCTCACAATCGTATTTATTCGCTAAACAAAATTTACTACCTGCTTTTTCTGCTTCTCTATTATTTTTTTTTTTCTGTTGTTTTTATATCTTTCTCTCACCCATTTGACATCAAAAATTTTCGAATACTATTTTTACTGCAAAATTCTCTACCGTTTCAAATTCCAATTTGAATTTTCATTTTCACAAACTTCAAAGAACTAATGTCCTCCTCCATAGACCCACAGCAACAGCAGCAGCAACAACATCAAAAGCATATGCAACACCATCAACAACAACAAATGCATCATCATCATCAGCAAATGCATCAGAGCGATATCGAACGCATGGATCCGGGCACCAAATCCGAAGGCGAAGAGGACTCCCAGCAGGGAACAATCAAAGCGAAAGCTACGCTGGGTCGTACACCCAATCATTTGACATTGAGGTATATATGAGTATTTTAGTTTTTGTTGTTTGCATATCAGAGTCACTTTTATAGCGTTAAACATCCTTTTGAAACTCATTAGTTTCTTATGAAAGTTTTTTTATATTTTTTTTTGTGGAATCTTCTTCTTTAAATTGTTTTAAATATTTCGCAATTCTACGTGGAAAAATCCAGAGTATTACCTTTGTATTAAACAAAAATATTTTGTTTTGATTTTTAGTGAAAGTCTAAACTAAATATTTAGAACATCAACATCTTCTTAATTTTTTATTCCTTAGCATTAAGAGGTCTAAATTAAACTACACGCATGAACCAATAAAGATTATATACAAAATAATAAAAAAAAATATATATATATAAAAAATGAGGAAGCGCAATGAGATTAATAATGGCTTACGCAAGGCCCCTTGCGGTCGAAACTCTTTCGACTTCCCCTTTCTACTAACCAAGCAAGATTTTATGAATTCAATAATTTGTCTCGAGCGAGACTCGTTCATCATTCAACAAAATTTCTAAGGAATGTGTGTAAAGATCACGAAAATAGTCTATATACATCACCGTATAATATATCAATATTTGTTCTCATAAATATTGAAAGAATTTTATCTAGAGGTAATACTAAGCAAGCACAATAATATAACATACCAAATAACAATTAATTATGCGATAAAAACCTGAATATAGAGACCCCGAATAATACACAGACTAACCCATAAAGTTCTGTGAAGGCTGTCTTTCCTTATTTGGTCTTAAGAGATCAAAAAATCGATATAGACGATTATTATGACTATTCTTACACTAATTTATTCCGAATTTAATTGTCTAAAGTCTAAAAAATGCAGCTCCAGAATCAAAAATTCACTAGAAGAAGAGAGAAAGCACGCAAGATGAAGGCTCTCTTTCCAACTATGTTCTTTAGAGTTCAACAAATCGATATAGACAATAGTAATGACTATACGTTCCTAACCTATATATATAAACCTATCACAAGCGACTAAAAAGCAAAGCTCTGAAAACAAAACTTGACAACAAGCAGATAAATCCACCGACTTTCCACATTTATCACCCAATGCAAAACAGTAAAATGTGTTTAGCTAATGGTTTGTCGAAGGAAAGAGAAAGTATAGTATATTCTTCAAAATAAATGATAAATCGAATAATTATAAGTAAATTTTCATAGTACACACTTTTATTCGCCACTAGAAACATTGACTTCTGACATTTTCTTAGCTACCCTACTTAAAATCAACCACTACATACACACATATATATTATTAAAGGCTAATCGATGATATATTTTGTTCTATTTCTTCCCATTTTTCTAATTTTGCGAAAATCGCTTCGTTAACTTTGCGCTTCATAAATGTCCGCTTCAAAACCTGTCCATAACCAACAACAATGCTACCACCACAATCAATAACGAACAACCATGACCATTACCACCACCACCACCACCAACCGTTTGAAACCAACTATCCAACACGTTATATTCGAACACAATTCACCATGCAGCACCACATCAACCCTATCGGTTGGCAGCACTGGTAGTCAAGCGCGTTTGATACAATCATCTCATCCGCCATCGAGCTATCAGCCAGTTCTCATGAAAGATTTAGGTAAGACTAACTCAATAACAAAAGAACTATCGTCTTCCCCTCAAGCAGAGTACATGGATGCCGCTGCCTCAGCGACAGTGAGCTCATTGTCGGCAGCAATGGAGGCCACCGATCAAATGATGTTTATGATCGAAGAGATGGGCATAGAAGTCCGGGAGATGGACGAGCAGATGATGGAGCAGGAGGAGGACGAGGAGGACGACGACGAACAACAGATGAGACAGCAACAGCAGCAAGAAATGGATTACATACTCGAATCAGAGTTGCAAGCTGCATCCGTAGCAGCAGCTTTTAATTTAAGTTTAGGTAGTAGTAGTAGTGGTAATGGTAGAGTAATATATACAACCAATAACGTTACTGGCACCACAAGTGGTTTAACAAGTAGAGGTAGTGGTAACGGTAACAATCATAACTTACATTGTGTGGCAACACCAAAACGCTTGTCACCACGACAATCGCCCAAAGCAGATATCGAAGTAATTGAGATTTTCGCTAATGAGCTAAGTCAGCTGACCGCCGCTCAGCAAGTATCGGTTGTGCATCATTCAGCAAAAGAGTCTTCCAAAAAATCGTCAAGTAGTCGTCAGGCAAGTGTCAGCAGTAGTGGCAGCGGCAGCGGTAGTAGCAGTAACGGTGCTAGCGCTGCTTCGCACACACATGTCGTCGACAAGCATTTGAGTGATCTCGAGCATGAGCAACTCAGCGACACCACCTACGATATCGCCGCCTATATGGCCAACCTTAAGGAGCAAGCGCTCGAATCGCAGGATCTACAAATGGATGCACAGGATCAACAACAAAATGATTCGAGTTTGTCGCCGGAACCGCAAACAGTTGTGGAGAATACACAACAAACCGTAGTGGCCGAAATAGAGTCACCACCACGACCAGCTACAGAATCGGATAGCACAGGCACCACGACGGGCACTTCGGAAAAATCCGAAGATGAATCGGAAGATGCCAGAAGGTTGGCAAAACATCATGTGATCATCGACAAGAAGGTCGATAAAGTTTTCAAATCAAAATCTTCAGAGAAGGCACAAAAATCGAGCAGCGGCAGTAGTAGTAGCATTGCCAGTACCGGCGCAAAACCGAAGACAACGAAATCACCACGTCAAAGCATATACATTTCACCCGACCGCTCCAAATCACAAGGTAGTTCGCCCGTACGCATAATTAAAATAAAATCACCACGCACCAGTGTCAGCGATCAAGGTAAACGACTGAGCGTAAGCTCCAGTCGCGACTCCTCGGCCGATCGCTTGTCCAGCGGACGCCGCACACCCAGTCCACGTCGCAGCTCCGAGGGTAGTGGTATACTGAAACGACCCGCCAGTCCCGCCGGCGGCATACTGAAACCACCACCCAGCCCCAGTAAATCGAAAAGTCCCGACCGCAGCTGCCTCAAGAAACTCACACCCTCTCACGACTGCAGCGTCGAATCACTTTCGCCGCACATATCACCGCGCGACAGCATCGAACACCTGTCGCCCGATCGCGCCGGTAGCAGTCTGTGTCAGCGTCATTCGCCGCGCAGCAGCTTCGACAGCCGCAGCTCTGAACCGAATCTCGATATACCACGTTCGTCGCTCAAATCGCCACGCGGCAGTTTCGAATCGCGATCGCCGGAACGTTGCAGCCGTAAACGCAGTCAGTCGGCGCACAGTAGCTTCGAGAACGGACAACGCGCCGCCGCGCTGGCCGCCAACGAAGCCTACTACCAATATTATCCCATTTATGATAATCAAACTTGTAGCGATCATTATATATCAGCCGCTACAACAACGCATATGCCACGCGACATCGGCACCAATACAAGCACGCGTCGCCTTAGTAAATCTCTGGAGCGTTCTACGTCACGCGAAAGCACCACCAGCAGCTCGTACCGTTATGGCGTATCACCCGAACGTATTTACACAATTAACACGATGGGCGCCAGCGCCGGTCCACTGCGTTCTCAGTCAGCTGAAAATGCATTTGCGCACTACGCTTATGATCCACATACGGGTCAACATTATCAAATGCAGCCGCCACAGGAAACCATTGCAACAGCAGCACCACCAGCTGCCTTCATGTACGCACACGAACCGCAATGTCCACACGAACACATGTCGGCCTATCAGTTGAGCTCGTCGGCACCCGAGCACACCACATGCATTGACTGTTTGTACCAAAAGCGACCATCCTAGCATAAGGCCCGCGTACGGCAGAGTCGTACGCGGAAGAAGACACCACGTGGCGTCGTACAGCCACCAATGGCCACAGCGTCAGGTATGATTTGTGCTGCGAGCTTTGATCCCGACGCAGCAGTGGCGGCGGGCGCCAGTGAGGCGAGCGGTTGTGTAGACTGTCATGACTATTATGAGATACATGTTTAAACGGGAGTGCGAAGTCGTATGGAAAATCAAAACTAAAATAAAAAAAAACTCCCTCAAACTATGATATATTAAACTACCCGAAAATCCCCATAGCCTGTATAACAGGATAAAACGTACGCAAGTAAACTCGTTGCCATCCAAAAATCCTCAACTGACAATTTACATGGACCATATATACATATACATATATTTATATATATATATATATGTGTTTGCATAATCGCCATTGTTGCTTGACACAGGGATTTTTGAAACAAAAACAAAAGCAACAACAATATATATATTATATATGTACATGTGCTTTTTCGTATTTGTGAATGTCCTTTCTTCAGAATTAAGACATAAGGATTAGCTTGTAGGTTGTAAGGAATCTTAGTTATGTACACGCTTACATACATATGTATATACATATATAGTCTCTGTTTAATTTTTCACAAAGTTTTTCATCACTAATACATACATACATACGTATATCGTGTATATCGAAATTTAATATGAAGTTAACATTGATTTTTTACAAATCTGTTTACTTCGACATAAAACCAAAGATGTAAAACAACAAATATGATGGCATCGAAGTGCTGAAAATTGACGTTGTTGCTGTACTTCTAAAAAAGTTGTGAAAATCTACTTGTATGCGTATGCACATACATATACATACATATGTTTTTGGTCAATACGTAATTAGTTTGTATGTGAAGAAATATTTAACGGTTATGTAATCGAAAGTATATACAAAAAATCCAACAGCAAATAATTATAATATAAAAAAATAATAGTATAGTATATAACGGTACATTGTAACACTGTACAGCGATAAGCACGTAAATTTAATAGTAACCCGCTAAAAATAACAACAACAACTCATTTAGATGTTTTTGTTGTAACGTATAGCTTAGTGCTGTTAAGTAAGAATTTTTTTTTTGGTTCACAAAAGACATTCTCATATGTCTTCCACTATAAGTGATTAGATTTTGAGGTTAAAATTTTTCTCTTAATTGCAAAACCTTTCAGTATTTTTTTAAGACGACCGAAGATACTTAAAAACATACCAAGAATATAAATATATTTTTTATATAGTTGCAAGTCTGTTCTAAACCAAACTCAGTAGCCATACCACCCTCATGGAAGCTAAAAATTTCAATCTATTTATCATTGAAACTGGCACCACAAGCTGATTTTAGACAAACTTACTAGACAACTCACACTCACTAGAATCGACTTAAACTACGAGTATATGTATATGTAAGTACAAACTTATATATTATAGTGCCAATTAGAATTTTGAACGCGCCTATTATGCTAATACGCTTCGAAAATAATCTCTGAATGCAATCGTTCGGTTTACAGTAGAGCTTCAGAGTTCGAAAAGAATGGACCTTGACGATTATTTCAGATTTTTTCGAATATGTGCTATTTTTCGGAAATTCAGATCTATTTCCACTTTTTTAATCACTCCTTTTCAAACCCTTCCTCGTTATTAGGAATAATACCGAAATAGCTGCTGAAATATTCCTATCTTGAGCTTAAAGATAAATCAGATAAAAAACCAGTGGAAATAACAGCAGCTGGCACCATCACAAGGCTAACGGAACACACTATCACCAAGCTGATGTGGGGTTCGAACCCAATTCCGAACGATATCAGAAAGTAGTATTAAAGTTCGCCCCTTACCAGACGATGGCAAGTCTTCCAGTGCAGGGTTATTTTTAATTTCAATCTGAACTAACATTTCACGTATAATTCAAGTATTTTAGATAAATTGTGCCCCAGGGGAAATTAGTCGAAAACAAACTATATTAAATTTCGATACACGAAAAAGAGGCAGTAATTTTAAGAGCATTTATGCACAAATATGTTATAGGCTTTCCTGAGACGATGGCAGCTTAAAGCAGATTTCTTGATAACATTTCGAAGTTAGCACTGCAGAAATTGCACAACGGTGCATTGAGGTTATCGTTAAATTGATTTCCATGGTATTGGCTTGGCTTTGTGTTATTATGTGGCACACGGAAGGGTGGTGTGTGCTGAGAGGCATATATGATTAGAATGGATAAATTTTGAAAAATAGTTATGGACTAAAAATTAGTAATGAGTATTTTTGGATAACAAAGGTATGAGATTCAAAATAATATCCATATTAAGAAAAAGGTATTCATAAATTCACCTACTCTATGGCGTGTTTTCATATATAATTTACTACTTGTAATTTCAGAATTATAGATAAAAATTTTGAGTTTTGAATTGAATTAATTGAATTAAAAATATCGAGAATATTTGCTAGAAGTATAGAGTCACAAGGAAGAAATTCAGGTTATTTTACATAAGTAGCTATACTACAATATATTTGACTTGAATTTTATCTGACATATGCATAACGATGGGCATCAAATCATTTTCGACATATGTATATATACGTATATGAACTCTCAAAAAATAGAATAAATAGGTTTAAAAGAGGTAATAGATTATTAAGAAACGAGAAAGAAATAAAAATTGTATATATATACTGAGTTACTAGCATATACTTAAAGAAATCGATTCGAATAATTTAAGGAAAATCATGAAAACCCAAAGAAACTTTGATGTTAACATACCTGTCCTTGCAGTTTTGAAGTAAAACTAGTGTCTATATATAAATTTACTCAAACGTTTACTCAATAAAAAGTGTACAACAATCAGGAATTTCCAGAGACGTATGGCAACTATGAAAAAAGGGATTGATTTTTAGTTAATTGAACAGAAATTTTACTATACATAACATATGTACATATACAAATTTATGTGACAATTAAATAGGAAAAAAAAATTCTTGAAAATGCAAATAACAATAAAATGCAACAAAAGAATGATTTAAATATATTGAATATTTAAATACTAGCGAATATTAAATAAAAGGAGAATAAATGAGGAAAAAATATTAATAAAGAGAATACACAAAAATCAATACCGACGATCTCAAGATGAATTGAAGGTCAGAACACACTAATGGAAATGGAATTTAGAACAAAAATGTCAACAGTTATTGAAAAAGGATTTGAAATTTGGAAGTAAAACCTCGCTCAACAAATCTAGTTACATATATAAACACTAAACGACTACAGTCAGTCAAAAAACTATAAACACAAGATAGAGAGATACCCAGAAATATACAAACACAAGGAAATGAAGGTGAAAAGTTGTGAAAACGAATACAAGGACATACTCGCAAATTAAGGACACTAAGAAAAAAGGACAACCACAACAACAATAAAAAGTACACTATACCCTAATTGTGCATATACAAATGTATAGCACAGCAGCCAAAAATATAAAACAACAACACTAAAAACAAAATGCAAACTTATGTAGCTAGCAATGGGAACAAAGGACATTCTTCAAACAATGAGTGAAAATGAAAACAGGCAAAGTTACTCATAGGCTAAGACAAAAATTAAAGAAAAATTTAAAAAAAAAATTATATAAAAAAATTATTAATTATTATTAATAAAAAATAAAAAATAAAAATAATTAAAATATTATTTTAAAAAATTAATTACTACTTGTAGTAATAAAAATAAGTAATTAAATTTAAAAAAAAATCTAGTTAATCAAAAAAATTAATTATAATTAATAAAAATCAAACTATTAAAACAAAAAGTTAGTTTGAAAAGAATCAAAATATTTAAAGAAATTAGTTAAGATAATAACTAAATTAAAAAAAAAAATAAAATAAAATTAGAAACACACAAAATCGTCTTATGTATGTACATATAAATATGTATGTATGCTGTTCGTATTTTAGTGGCTATGTTAACAATTGTAGTTAGACAAATTCAATAAAAAATTACTAGTTTCCTAAATAAGCGTTAAACTCGCAGCACACATATAAATATTGAAATATATGTGTTTATAACTGTTCACATGCACATACAAACAAACATGCATGAGTGTAGCATTTAAGCCAAGGCACAGTATTCTATATTTAGATAATGTGCACAACTGAAAAGTAGATATAAAAGCGAAGACAGGTTTAAAGTATGCGCGAATGCGCCAAAAATGCATGACAAATAGCTGAAAAAGCAAAAAACAAAAAAAAAAAAAACACTCGCAGACATGCAAAATACATTTACAGTATGTGTTTAAAATAAATCAAATATCTGTAGTTAAGTAAAAAAATTACAAGACTATGTCGATGTACTTCCAATTAAACATAAAAAATAAAAATTTAGTTAAAAAATAAAAATTGAATTTAAAAAATTAAAGATTAAAATCAATGATAGTAAAAAAAAAAAATTAGCATCTAAATTAAATTAAATACAAAATCATTAACATTAATATAATAAAACCTAAATAGTCGTAAGATAACAAGGAAGTTTATGAGCGATGTAAGAAATTGAACTATCAGGACACAATGGTTGGATGAGGCAATTAGCGTCTCTTATGTAGTTAGTCAAAGGCAGAAAATCAATGAATAACTAGTAACTAAATACTACTTGTACGAATACGAATGCAGAAGGCATGGAATTTTAATCAAAATTCATAGACAAAAATATACAAGCAGAAGCGAGAGACTAACTGTATGCATATATTTTAAATATTTTGAGCAGAAATATATTATATATGACATTTATTTCGATAAACTTTTTTTTTATAAATCTTTAAATAATTATTTACAATTTAAATTTTTTGTTTTCAACACAAAAATTGTTATACTGTATATAAACTAGGTTGAAAATATTAATTTTTCGATACGTTTATACACACATATGTATATGTATAGAACAGGGCGTCCCTAACATGAGATACATAAATTTTACCAAAAAAAAATCGAACCAAAACAGTATTAAAATATATTCTATTAAAACCGTTAAATTTTTTAAAACCGAAACCGAAATTGTTTTTACGGAAACCAAAACTGAAAAATTAAAAAATTGTGCCAGCCTAAAAAGGGCGATTTTTTGTAGGATTCACTACATCAATTGTTTTAAACTTGTAAGGATATATTTAAACATATTTTACAATATATAATACGCAGTAAAATTTAAAAAAAAAATATTGAAAATTTTTCGAGTCGCATGCGATCTTCGACGGCGCTAAAAAAAATTATCCTGCAATGCTGCAGTGATTCCAGCCGTGGATAAAACCTAAGAAACATCTCACTACAATATATTGCAAGTACAATTACTTATATACGACTTACAAAATGGCGGCGTTTTAAAAAAAGTTAGATTTAACCAAAATTTTGGTCGTTTATCGCCTGCCATAATTTGATTTTTGATCAGCCGATAGGTCATTGTATGGAGAACAGATACAGAACATGCAAAAAAATAGTTTTGAGTAAAACGAGTTTAAGATATACTTATTGAAATAGCTTTGCTGAGTGGCTCGCATCAGTAGCATGTAACTCAAAAAAAAAATATTTGAAATATTCATTTAAAATTTTAGTATGCTGCTTAGATTACCGCAATAAGCGAAAAATCGATTTTTAAAAAATTTCCTACTAGATATTAACCGTAAATCAACAACTCTTTAACTTCAAATATGTAACGCTTGTTCAGTGTAGTATTTAAAATAATAATTTCAGAGCTGAAGGTTTAAGGTCAATATATTATAAAAAAAAATAGCATTTTAGTAGAGAATAACAGAGTAGTGTATAAAAAGTTCGTTGATTTCCTAACGAAACTGATTTCTAATGTGCCACGGTTCGGTTCGAAGTTATACATACGTAATTTTTTTCGATGAGTACTGAAAACAAGAACAACAGAAACAAAAAGTACCCGAATTTTATTCCTACTTTTGTGCACTCGAAATACCAGAAATTAGCTACTTTGACTAATACTGTTGCTCAGAGTTCTTAGAAGAGATGTTGAATAACAAGCAATCTTTAGTTGACCAATTGAGTGAACATTATATATAACATTGATACATAGTTTTGATACAGCTATGAAAATGAACTGGAAAAAAGGTCGGCTCAAACGTATATATATATATATGTATGCCTCATACATACCCTACAGATCGAAAATATTAATTTAGTAAAATACTGGACATAAAGCTTCTAAATTAATGAGCACGATCTCTCATAAAAATTTAGAAATATTTGGAGTTAAAAGAGAGTAATTTTGATTTTCTGGTATCTAATGAGCGATAATTCGCAATAAAGCCATATAGGGGCACCCCATTCTATATATGTATATACTAAATGTAAACCAAGCTTAAATAATACCTCAATGAAAAAATTCATTTATGTCTCATTTATATTAAAATAAATCGAAAATTTCGCAAAGAAAAACTGTATATTGAAATAAGTATGGATAAACAAATTCCACAAATCAAAAGTAAAATAAAACAAAAATCAAATATTAAATAATCCAAAAGGCTTCACAGCAATAAAATCAAAATTAACATTTTGTTATACCACAACAACAAGAACAAAAAGAGAACAACTAAAAATGACAAAGACAGTAAATAAACGAAATAAAAGCAGAAACTCAAATACTTAAAATACTTAACGAGGGTATGCCTACATAAATACATACGTACATATTTCATGCAAAGGCAAAAAAAAAGTAAATATATTTATATAGCAATAAGTAAATAATAGTTAAAAATAGCAACTAACTACAAGTATACGTAAAATCAAGCAAAAAACAATATTCGATGTTTACAAACATACATACATACATACATTTGAAATAAGTAAGAGTAAAATAAAAATAACAGACGACAGTTCCGAAATCTCAACGATCTCAAGATACAACGTAGAACAACTCGAACAAAGAGTCAAAAAAAAATGAAGACAAACAAAAATACTACGAATTTTGCATATTTATATGTACTTATGTGTACTATATGTATGTAATTAGCATCGTATATTTATATATGTTCCGAGAAATCCAAACCTTACCACTAGTCTATAGTGAATTTTTGAAATTACAATAAATGTTTTGAATGTTGTTCGAGTTTACGAAATCAAAATAAGAATAATCACAATAAACAAAATGGAACGCAAAAACAAATACAACAGTAATTAACTTTAAGTGTTAAATAAAATAAATCAAAAGTCAAATAAATCAAAATCGTCAAATAACGGAAACGCAGCACAAAACACAACAAAATAAAAACCAAATAAAAAGAAACAGTAATATCAAAAAATAAATTAATATATATAAATGTATAAATAAAATTTTAATTTAATTAAAAATATTAAATCAAAATAACCAAAACTAAGTAAAAACAACTAAACCAAAGAGCTAAAAGAATCAAACAAAAATAGAAAAAGTTACAACAGAAATAAAAGAAAAAACAAAAACTACTGCGCAGACTTGCCACACAACAACACAAGAAAGCAGCAGGATAAAAAAGTTATGAATGCTCAAAACACTTTCGAAAATATCTTCAAACAACAAAGTAATATGGATGTCAAAACATACGAAATTAACAATCACCGAAATGAACCCAAACCATTAAAACTTATATTTTCGCTGATTTTGCACAAATTGAACTTGCTTTGCGGCGGCGCAACGTACTTACATTACATAACTAAGTAAGTGTAATGATTACCAAAAAAATCCATTTTATTTGTGCCACAAATAAATGTTAATTAATTATCGATATTTTTAACTCATACTTACTTATTTCGATTTGCTGCTAAGGTAAGTAAAAATTTCTTGCAATATTAAAACACAAAACTATTACGAATATTTTTTTTAAACACGTTAACTACA